GGATGTATATATTTCGACTGAAGAAACATTTCTGTTAGTGTTTGAAAAGAGTTTATTTCACAATCAAAGTAAAAAAGTATCTTTTAAAGTTATGGAATTTGAAATGTGTTTACATATTGGATGACATGAATAATTATATTATGTTATAAACATTTTATTGCATCAGTACTTTTAAGATCAGTTATCTACAACTCTTAATAGTAGATATAGTAATTAATATATTAAATATTATATTTGATGCATAAAATTATCATAAGAAATTATTTATTAATTTATTGGTTACCTGTACAAAGTGTAATCAGTAGGTAAAAAGACTTTTCAATTTTTTCAAAATATATTTATTTAAACTTTAATAGTCATACTGTTCAAAGGGGAAACAGTACTATTCATACAATCCCCCTTTCAGAACACTGTAGGTTAAACTTTCACTTTACAAAACTGGGAACTTACTCTAATGAAACTTGTACGATTTGTAGGGAAGAGAATGAGACCTCAAAATGCGTGTTAGGAATTTGGTCGGCACTGATGCATAAACGAAAGCAGTACCTACGTAGGCATCGAATGAAGAAATAAAACTCTGTAATGCAGATTCAATATTACAATTTATAGGAGAAGTATGATCTGTGAATAATATTCTAAGTCAACGAATATCTGAATGCCACAGTAGATCTACAGGTCGTAGCGCAGATTGCTTAAACACAATAATATTATAATAATACCTCTTTGATATCTGCATTGTATTTTCCAGTTTGAGTAACATTGTTAAAACATCTTCTAAGTATAATATAATAATATTCTAAGTCAACGAATATCTGAATGCCACAGTAAATCTACAGGTCGTAGTGCAGATTCCTTAAACACAATAATATTATAATAATACCCCTTTGATATCTGCACATTTGCCATTGTATTTTCCAGTTTGAGAAACATTGTTAAAACGTCTTTTAAGGTCACTAATAGTGACCTTAAAAGATAGTGTTTTCTAATAGTGTTTCTATGATTTGAAAAAACACTCTAAGCCCATAAAGGGGGCAGAATAGATCTATAGGTCGCAGTACAAATTGCCAAAACAACGACAATAATTCATCCCTCTTTGATATTATGCACATTTACTACTCTATTTTTCAGTTTTTGAAACACTTTTGGAAAGTCTTTTTAGGTATGACTTCGATCAATGCTTTAGGTTTTACCTATATTATCTGTATTGTTGCAAAACTTTGTCCTTTGATGATCTTTTTGAATTTGAGAAATAAAAAAATCACAGAGTGCTATGTCTGGGCGGTAGCTGAATTATAATGATATAACTATACAGTTCAAGGTGAGAACTGTTGGATAAACACAGCGGTTTATATATATACATTTGTACGTTATCGTGGTGCAACATTTAATTATTGTATCTCTAAAGTTCTGATATTTTTCATCAAATATTAAAATCGTGTAAAACTTGTAGTTTCCCTCATTGACAGCACAATTAATCAATGAAAATTTGTAAGGAACTATACCATTCAAGGCAACCAAAATGATTAAAAGAACTTTGATATTTTACCGGAGTGTAAAAATATCAAAATAGCAAAACGTCTGTTGATTTCCATATCATAACTATTTCCATATCAATATTCTAGTAACAAGTCTGAATTGACAAAGACATCATTAAGCAACGATGATCTATAATACATTAATGCTCATTTTCTCTGCAAACATGATTTTTATGCGGAAAATATCACTAGACATCGCCTGAGAGCCTTTGGTTTAAGTTTCTTTTGATTTAATAAAAAAACAGTTCGAAATGTTGGATTACACTTTTATAATAGCAGGACTTGAACAGAAAAGTGATCAAATAATCCAATAATTTATATCAATTTAGACTTGAGCAATTTTGTTTGATTTAACTATGTATATGCATATCTGTTTCATATAATCTAATAAATAGTATCATTAACTATTTAATTATGCCTATTTGCCCAAAATGTTACCTCTCCGTTTCAAGGAGTTTGTATTACATGTTGCCAGAGAAATGAATGACCTGTCAATCTAAGTTTTCGTTGTGTATATTCTCTCCTAATATGAAACGGTATCGTTGTCCCTAAATTATATGATTTGCATTCCATATAGAATTTTTTATGGAATATAAACAAAAGAAGAAAATGATACAATTTAAGGAAAGGTGGTGTCATTAGTTACCTATAGGGTATTTACAGAATACAAATGACCAACACAAAGTTAGTATGGATACTAGCACAATTTTATTTCAATATTTATTTGCTTTTTCTCGGTAATTATGAATATTATTTTAAGTCATCAGTGGCGTCTAAAAGACGCCAAAATATATAATTAAGAGCCGAAATAAGAAGCTGAAGGAGGAACTAAAAGCCTAAACTTCTGTTGTCTTTGGGCACATTGCACGTACAAATGAGTGGAAAAAAGTTAATCATTTGTGCGGTAGGTAAGAAAGGGACTTTTGAATTTATATTGAAAAAAATGTCGTTAAATTTTATTTTCAGTTTTGTTCAGAATTTGTATTCATTATAATTAAAGCTTTCGGCACTTGCAAAATTTTAATTATGTTATTTTTATGAAAAACAAAATAGAATTAAGTCGAAAAAAAAAAAAAATTGTACATGTTTTGGGTTTTAACTATTCTCTGTTAACGTTTACAGCATTATGTTATGTTAGCAATATCAGATAATAACAGTAAAATTTTATTTAATTTTGTTTTTTATACTTTAATGATATTTGATAAAATCAAATATTTTTTATTTAAAAATATGTGAATTTTCTTCAAGAATATTTAATTAAGGTTCTTAAGCTAAGCAGTTAGAGAAATAGTTTCGTAGTTTAAAATAAATTAATATAAACGGATTGGAACCACAAATTCATGCCATTATGAAAAGACTTATTTAAGGAGAGTTTCCATTATGTCTAATGTAAAATTATCCAAAATATTTTAGTGAGATTTGAACCCCAAAAGCGCATATATGTATGTACATACATATTTAAGGAGATGCCTAGAAATACTTACGGAAATTTTATGAGAATGAAGCTGCATGAGGGTGTGAAAAAAATATGAAAATTGTATTCACAATGCATTTTATATAAAAAGTTTATGGAATAATTAATTTAAAAATGCGTTTAATAGATACCGCCACTTTTTTTGTAAAGCCTAGTCATAAATTTTAAACATTTTTAACAAGTAATTTTATGTAAATTTTTCTCACGAATTGGATGTTGGTACTAGGTTTAAGTTGATAGCACTGTTTCGCCTTACAAAGGTTTTAAAAAAAATATTAGGGATATTTACTATTACAAGAAAGAGCTTGATAATCAAATAACATAGTAAAAGGGTGAAGCAGCAACAAAAAACTCACCCAACAAAAAAACGTTTGTCAACAGGACTTTTCTTTGAATAACTTTAGTTTTACACATTTACTATATTTTTAATCCTGTCAACTTTCTTAGCACACGAAAAAACCTTTAATCCAAAAATGTATTTATTCTAAGCTTTTAATTTGGGAAATATTCTACATTTGTTCATATTTATAGCAATCAGCTAATTGGAAAATTATCTATATTTGCTTACATTTACCATATAGCAATGAGGTGATCGAGCTATTTTGGTATATCTTTTTTAAATATAAGTAAAATTGTTAAGAATTTAATTGAATAATAATAAAATAATAATAAATGTTATATTCAATAAAATTAGTTGACATTTTATTAATCATTTTAGTTTAGATTTTATTAAATACTTACTTCCTCAGTGCCTTTTTTACAGCTCAGTTCTTGTTTGTTTACAATTTACATATAAAACATACTTCAAATTTTGGATTTTTCCCTTCTCCCTTTCCCTTAAATGAGATAACTTGTTGATAATGAGATCATTAATATAAAGACACTTTGTGTGGTAATACTATGTTTAGACAGTCAAATTTCCTTTATTTCGTTAAAATGAAATTAAGTTAATTTGGAAAGTGTTCATACTTAACCAAATTAAGGAAATCATATGTTTTTTGTTTTCAAATGTGATGTTAAAAATCACATATTCAAAACACCATTTGTATCTGCGAAATTTTAAAAGTTGATTATTATAACGAAATAAACAAAAACGGTGAACTTTGTTTATTTCGTTCTACGCAGGTGTGGTGGGTTATGCATTTCGCTTTGAATTAATTTCTTACGTTACCCACCGTCTAACTGAGCCTTTACTTGTGATTAACTATTCTTGTAACTGCAATGTATTCATTTAAAAATTATTCTATAAATAACCAAAATGAGATATGTATAAAATCAAAATAAAATTATGGTTAGGCATGTGAACAAGGTTTCGAAGAAACGAGTCGAATGTTAAAATTCAAAACCATTGTAAAAACTATTTTTCTGTTGTATAAACACAATATAAATAAAAGTACTAATATTAAGTATAGAAAATAATAATAGGTCTGTTCCACGAGCTACTCATAGTAAAACATGAGTAAAACAGAAGTAAAATTTACACAAAAATACTTGAAAATTTGCTGGTGGAATATGTACTTGTGTATACACAGCGTTTACTCAAAGTTACTATGAGTAGCTCGTGGAACAGACCTAATATATCGCTTATTTAAACGCTTCCTGTGAATTTGATTAATAAAAAATTTTTTAGTTTTTTTTAAGGTACATTTTTCAAAGGTATATAATTATTTACATATATCTATTATATAAATTTGATAATAATCTAAAGTAAGTCGTTATAACATTTCTTCTCAAAAAATTTTGACACGTAGTTAAGATAAAACAAATTTAAAATATTAGTTATTGTGAATTCAAACATATAAAATTCATAATAGCAAACGTCGCTGTTGTGATATCTGAAATAAGAGATATCAACAATTTTTTGTTCTTCTGTTAACAAGTAATTGCAGTTCGACAAAAATAATTTATTTTTGATCAAACAAAAATTTTCGAGCATTGTAAACATTTCTTTTTTATAAACTCCCACGTAACTGTAACAAAAAATTTTCTACAAAAATGTCAAGTTAAAATTCATAAATACAAATAACTATAATGTAAACATAAATTTAGTAAATGCGTTGAAATATAACTCATTTTGTAGTGATGGTACGGATTGGTTAATTGTTTTATTTTAATATACCTTTTTCAATTTGATGGTTTTTTAAATACGATACTGTGAATTTTTAATTTTAGTAAATGTCAATTTGACAGTTCTTCCGTTTCTGTTAATAACACATCCACACATTTTGTAACCCTATTCACTCAAAATTTGTTTAAATTTCCATTTGATTATCTGAATATATAATGCCGCCGAAAAAAGTCGCAGCACCTAGTAAGAAAACTGAACAAAAAAAAAAGGAAAAAATCATTGAGGTAAGCGGAAGGAGACGCAAGTATACTTACATGGCTAGTGCTCTCCAATGCAATTCCTAACCTCAATTAGGAAAGATTTACATTTTATGCTTTGTTATAACTGACCCTTAGGATAAAACATTTGGTCTTAAAAATAAGAAGGGATCCAAGCAACAAAAATTTATACAGCAAGTACAAAAACAAGTACAGAGTGGTGGACATCATCCCCGGCAGGATGGCGATAAACGTAAAGAAGAGAAAGATAAGAAATTGGCTGATCAAAAAGAGCTTGCTATGATATTTAAACCTGTACAATCGCAAAAAGTTGAAAAAGGTACTGACCCCAAATCGGTTGTATGCGCATTTTTCAAACAAGGCACTTGCACAAAAGGAGATAAATGTAAATTTTCTCATGACTTATCGATAGAAAACAAGGTAATATTTGAATATTAACAGACAAAATTTAAATTAATATATATATGTTTTTCATTAAGGTTGAAAAACGTTCCATATATGTAGATATGCGAGATGCGGAGGATGATATGCAGAATTGGGACGACGCTAAATTAAAGGAAGTTGTAGACACAAAACACGCCGGTGAAAAGAAAAGACCTACTACTGATATTGTAAGCTTTAGTCAGTTACATTTATTTAAATACTCTGAAAATTATTTAGAATATTTTTTTCAGATATGTAAATATTTTATTGAAGCAGTGGAAAAATCAAAATATGGTTGGTTTTGGGAGTGCCCGAATGGCGAAAAATGTATTTATCGTCATGCCCTACCTCAAGGCTATGTGCTAAAAAGAGATAAAAAGAAGGAAGATAAGCCAACAGAAATATCCTTGGTCGATTTAATTGAGAAAGAACGTGCAGCACTTGGACCTAATCAAACGAAAGTTACCTTAGAATCGTTCTTGGCGTGGAAAAAGCGAAAACTGCAAGAGAAAAAAGAAAAATTGGCAGCGGAAGAGGAGCGCAAAAAGAGCGATTACAGCAAAGGCAAACAATTTGGTATTTCTGGACGTGAAATGTTTAGCTTTAATCCAGATTTGGTGGACGATGGTCCAATGGAAGATGGTGATGCAGCATTTGATAATTATCAACGCGACGATGACGATGACGATAACATTGTAGAGTTTAAAGAATTGGACTTATCGGAACTTGCATTGGCTGCTCAAGAAGTAGATGGCACAGGTACTATAGCGTCAACATCCCGACTCAAAGATCAATACGACGAGGCGGCAGCAAATAATTCGTCATTGTCTGATGCAGCTTGTGGTACTACGGAAGCAATAGATAATGCCGAACCAATAAATAAAGAACTTTTTATGGACTTAGTAGACGAGCTCGATGATTTAGATATTGATGGTGATGATGATGATGACGACGATGAAGACTAAAATTAATTGTTACATTCTCTACGTTTGTTACATTACAGGTAAAAAAAATTCTATAGCATAAAGAATAAAAACAGTTTGCTTATATATTTTAAAACACATCATTGTTGAAAATTATTTAATAAAGAAGTTTCGAAGTCTTGCAATTTTATTCAGTGTGTATACGTGAAACTGGATTTTGTTCTGTTAACAAAAGCAATTTAAGTAATCAATGTGATTACTAACCGGCGTCCATTCTTTATGTAGTTTTTACCAAAAATTTTGTGGTAAAATTCCAGTTGGTGTTGGAAATACTCCTTTCATTAAACAGTTATCCAACATAAGTTCTAAACGGGTAGTTGCTCCTCCACTATCGATTTCTTTTACTTTTGGAATATATGATTGCCTTATGAAAACAAGAAGTTTGACAAATTGTTTGCCGTAAGTTGCGTATAGATACGGTGAAACGACGTGTAATACCTCAGAAAGCACTGTCGTACAAATATCTGGCATTGGTTCAAGATTTACCAAGTTTGACAACCAAATCCAGCACTGATCGATACTGAAAGGGTGTGAATGACCATCTGCTTGACGACCATTAGTTATCATTATAGCTGAAAACAGTCGAGCGAAACCGGCATGCCGTTGCAAAAATAGATCTTGCTTTTCTATCACACCATCCTTAAATGTGTAACCAAGTACTTTAAAGTAGTCTTCAACGGACTGTTGTGGTTGCTGTGGTATATAATATGGTACTAAGTAGGGCGATTCTTTAAACAAGTAGGCTAGGAAAAGAATTCCGAAATCTGGTATTAATTTCCATAAGGATATGGCAACTGACGCTACTGGAAATGCTGCTGGCGCGCTGCTTGCAATTTGCGAATCACCTTGTTTGACCATTTTTTTTGTCATTAAAAGCATACAATAATCACGTCCCAGTGGATGATCGTTGACTGATATTATACCATCCGGAACTTTTGTGGGTTGACCGCTTATAAAATTGTAAAGCTTTTCAAATTTATCCTATAAATAGAAACAAGTATTAACTTAAATGAATGCGATTGTACAACATTTTTTTATTTATTACTCTTAGATGTTGAGGACTAACTGCTGCTATAGCATTAATTGGTATGTTAATAACTTTTTGACAGGCAGCTCGATATTTCTTCAGAGATTCATCATTCTGCAGTGGTTTCACCCTTTCCACTTTTGCTTGATAGAAAGCGTTAATTTTGTTGTAAAATTCCAAACGTTCCTGACTTACATATACATCGTTAGATTTGGATAATACAGTTGTATCTGATATAGTCGAAACAGGAGGTGGTTGGATGAGTAAGTCATTAGTGTTTTCTGTCGAGATAACATTAGGAACAACTTCAGTGTATGAGGTTGTCATTGCATTAAAGTTATTAGCGGAAGTTGAAGTAGCCATTGCAGGTGTCTGCACAATATTAAAAATTGATGGAGTTTCATTAGAAAGTGAATTTGCGTTTGCAATTGCATTGTTGGTCATAACTTCTTCCGAAACTATTGATGTATTTACGTCAGTTGGTGGAGTGAAAATCGTACTGTCTTGTATTTGTTTTTGTTCTAAAAGTTCTTCCTGTGCCTTAAGAGTTTCTTCTTTTTGTTTAAGAACAGATTTATTGGCTTCATTTGCTGATTTTAATTTATCATATAATATGAGTAATGATTCGTTTAATTGAGCCGCTGTCTTTAATTCTAGTAGACTACAATTGCCGTTTTTTATTTGAACTAAAAGCTGTTCAAACTGTTCAATTATACCCTTTAAATGACTGTTGTAATGCTCGAAATCAGTTGAAAAATGTTGTTTGTCAATGGATTGTAGTAATTGCAGATATTTTCCATAACTTTCATGAAACTTTTCTTGAAACTCAATAATTCCTTTAAGCACTATTGCTTCTTTCTCGTGTTGATATCTTTCACTAATTTCGTCTCTCAATTGTTCAGCTTCGTAAAATTCTTTTGCTACCTCCAGTTCAGCTTGTTCGATTATTTGAGCTTCCTTTAGGCTCTTCTCCTCAAACCATAAAGTATTCGGTTCACAATCACTCGATTTTGTTTGCGCCATCATTACTTTTTCTCGACTAATTAAATTATCTATATGATTCCTTATCTTAAGCTTAGTGTAGTTATCGGTTTCCTCTAAAATTATACTCGCAGTAACCGTAGCTTCATCATATGCCTGCATAAATATTAATTATTTATTTAATAAACCGTAAATTACCTTATTTAAATAATATGAATATATATATTTTCATGCTATAAAAATTTATGTTAATACTTTACCTTAGAGTGTGGCGAACTTTCTATGCGGGAGTATGACTGATTTGGCGATACATTTTTTTCAGTTAATATTGAGAAATTTGGTTTTTTGCATCTTACAGTCTTTTTTGGTACTTTTGGTGTACATCGGAGGCTATTATTATACTGTTCCCAATTTATTTCTATATCAGGACCAATTGTGCGTTCTGTTACGAATTGTGAAATTTCAGCTGCATTTTGCAAGACTTGGACGTTGATATTAAAATCTTCCAATACCTAAACACAGATTTTTATATAACTTGAATAATAATAATATTGCAAACTTACCGTGCTGTCCATTTTAAACTAATTCCTTCACTAATATATGCTTATTTGTTATTATGTTCGCACCACAAAACGGATTGTTTTGTTTCAACTCTCCACAGCACCCCAAATATTCACAAAGAATACAAACATAGATAGAACATTTAAATATAACGAAGCTTTTTATTCAATATTTGATTCAAGTCTTGTATGCACTACAGGGCACTACAAAGTCACTACTGACAATAAAAACTCATAATACAATGCATACATATACATACAATATATTTTAGTGTTTAGTATGGTTATGCACGTAATAATTTATTGAATGCTCATGCGTTCATTTTTATGTGTTCCTTGATCTGTATGGATATATAGGAATCAAACGATGTGAATACTGTCGCTGCAATGCGTTGTTGTTGGAATGAATTTTTTTGTTATTCAAATCTTATTTTATCTAATTTATTTAGTTTCGTTTGCGGTGAAATAGTGATACATACACACGGTGTTCGTCAGTCTGTATGTACTATATGCATAGAAATATATTTCATTGAAACATTTAAAATACATGATCACTGAGTAACTGCAATATCCTTTAAGTAGTTTTATAAATACTTTTACTAATATTTTGATTAAAATGTTTTCATTTCAATTACATAAGTAGTTTTAGATGCAGTGGAAACATGATATTGTCGACGTATGAACATATAACTACATATACGAAAAGAATATCGCTTGTTTTTACTTCACAAGTATATAAGACAGTGGAATAGCAAATATCAAAAACGAACTTGAAAAGTTGATTATTAAATAATAGAATGTCAATTATTAAAAAAAGTTATACCATTATATTATTAAAAACCCCTTAAATTAAAATAAATAACAAAATAAAATTAAACACAACTTGTTCACAATACACTAGCAAATAAAACTATAATTTTATTCAATTAACATTTGTATAATGACAATTATAAAATATATTACATAGCTATGTAGATTAATATTTTATTCAAAGTGTATAAATAAAAATAAATTTTTCCAAAAATTTATTTTATAAAAAAGTGATATCTATATCACTAACATCATCTCTACACATTTTTTTTCGATTTTGTTTTATTCGCATCATTCCAGAAGCAAACAGAGCAACTCTCTACGAGTTCAACATTGGAGTTGTGTGCACGTTTTTGTGTGTTTAATATTACTGCAGAGAATTTTGAGTGTATTTAAATAGTTTGGAATAATCAGAAGAAATGTCTAGAGTAGTAAGACGAAAACATGTTTTAAAAGAAATGATGGATGACAATTTGGACTTACCTGAGGAGCGACAACAGATTGTGCGTGTGGTTTGCAGTCGCGGCAATAATTTGCATGAAGTAGAAGCACCGGAGCCGACCTCAGAAAATTTTCTTGTTTCCATGCCAACTAAATTTAGAAAAAACGTATGGGTTAAGCGTGGTGATTTACTTTTGGTGAACCCAATTGATGAAGGTAGCAAGGTGAGAGCTGAAATTTGTAAAATTCTTACACAAGAACATGTTAAAGAGTTTACCAAAGCGGGCGTGTGGCCTAAACGTTTTACTAATAAAAGACCGTGTGATAATGATGATGGTATTGATAGCAATGCTTGTGCTCAGCAGGACGGTGCAAACGGTGACGACGACTTAATGGTACCAAATCTAAATCGCCCTCAAATATACGAAGACAGTGACGAGACGGAGGAGTCTGACCATGATATATAAAACAAAGATACTGACAACAGTGAATAATTAAGAAACAAATTGCAAAGATGTCTACATGACACAATATGTGATTGTGTGGCGCAATATGTGTCAGATATCATAGTCTTGATTTTTGTACCTGTATCGTCAGCAAGAAATATGAAGTAGAGAAAATTATGTTATTACTGTATTAGGTCTACATTACGAGTTTTATGCGATGACTTACAACCAAACCGACAGACCCCAGCTTTTAGTAATAAAAATTGAATGCCAATGACTTGAACACGAAAGCCACTGCAATGATGGAGTACCCTTACTTCACTGGACCTAGTTTCTCAGCAATTTTGTTTTTTAAAAAAGCGACAATTTACAGATTTGGAAAATCTTTTGGACTATAGACTAAGAATAAAAATATTCATTTGTATTATATGGTTTTTAAATTAAAGCAATTTTAGAAAATAAATATAAATCAAAATAAATTCAATTTTGTTTAATAAATAAAGTTTTTCATTATTGCTGTTGCAATGCAATAATGAAAAACAAACCAATTTACATAAATTGATCATTAAGAGCATAAAGATGTGTAGTAAAGTTAAAAGAATTCATGATCAATAGGTTTTTCGAACAGTAGCGAATTAAAACAACAAAAATTTATTTTATATTTATATTTTAATTAATTGAATTTTTGGCTGGTCATACAGCTGTTTCGAATATTGTCAAATACCCATCATTAGTGGTCTTAGAAATAATTATTGTATTTAATTATTCGTTAATAATTTTTTGAGACTGCAAATACCAGGAACCGAACTCGTACTCTGTCAAATTTGAAGCTCAGATTCAGAGCACCTTAACCAACTGACACAAAGCCGTAATTGACTTGTATGTTCGCATTTTTTTCTGGAGTTTTGTTAATTTGCTGTGAAAGTTTTATTAATAAATTCACTTGCTGTGTTTATATTGAAACGAAATATATACACCAGCTGTAAAATAATTTAATTAATTAATTATATTTTTAAATTTCAATACTATTGTGTTTGTAAAGACATTTTTTGTTGCATGCTTTATATATTCTTTTTAAGTATGGAACCTAATCTAAGAACGTAATACTGAGAATTCATTATATATATGATGAGTACGAGTAATGTAACTGCTTTGACTGAAAGGTTACTGAGAGGCATACATTATAAGGTAATTCATCTTAGAATGCATTGGGGTTTGAAATGTATAGTACCAGCAGCGCTCAGCCAGATTAGCAGTAGAACTATCTAAGTTAAGCATAATATGGTGCTAATTTTCCTAGAAACATGGGGCTGGTGGTCAGTAAATCAATGTTTTCAAATCAAAGCTCTAAAGAAGTTTTAGAAGATCTATAAATATTTTGTTTGTTATACGATGTTTAGTATTTGCTATGAATGGCCTATTTTTTAGCTTTGACCAATAGCCTATTCACGCAGCAAAATTAAAAGAAACGCTATTCTTTATTTTAAATTGGAAATCAACTATGATAAATCTTATTTATTCTTAAGTTTGTTTTTATACAATATAAGTTATTATATAAAAATATAATTTTTAAAAAAACAACTAAGTCGGGCAAAAATTCAAACACAAGTATTGAGCTCGACACCAATATAATAATATTAAGTAAAATCAATTGTAATTTAGCCCGATTGGCTCGTTTCTTTAAAAAATTAAATTAAACTTGTGACATGATTCCATACAAAAGTTTAATTGTAATTTGTATAAAATATGTAAGTTACATTTAACTTCGTGATTTACAGTATTATAATTGTGCTACGGTACTATGAACAGTCTTTATAAATTCAATCGAAACAAAATTTTAGCATTCTAATTTACAATTGCAACTACAGAAATAAATATGATGAACATAATTAAGATTTTTACCAAAGTGTACCGAAAAAAAAATAATATTACAACTAAATTATCTTAGCTTTGTTTCTCATTGTGAGAATTGTATTCTTTTTGATTTCAAGTAATACTAGTTGCTTGAACGAAATACATATCTAAAACAATTTGTGTGGGATTTCCAGAATGTAAACAAGGTCAAAATGTTACACTTCGTAAAATGTAATCACACAAGAAGGTAGGTTAGATTGAATACCTTTTCTTGTTAATTGCAATATTTCTATTTATTACAATAAATCAAGCTAGTTTGAATATGCTTTAAAAATGTGAATATTCTTAAAATTAATTAGCCAGTACATTAAATTATAATGTTGAGGATAAATAAAATTTCGTTCTATAGTGTAAACTCTACCATAAAATTAAATTCTGTTTTTATCAATAAAGAAATCAATCTGGCATCTCAATTAAATGTTTATGTGTATAAATTAACACAGCTGATCAGTAAATGAAATTGAAAATTATTAATTAATTAAAATTTATAGTATTTGGAAATATGACGGAATTTAACTGGCCATGGGAGTATTCATTTCCACCATTTTTTACGTAAATATTTTAGTATATTACTATATTGAATTTGATATATTTTAAAATTTCTTTAAAGTATACAACCAAATGAGGAAACCCGTCATCAGCAAATTAAAGTTTGGTCGAATTTGTTTTTAAAATATTTCAAACATCATAACAAATTTACAGTAAATGTAAATGAAACTGCTCTGCCATTATTCAACAACGAAGAGATTAAACGCCATTTATCGCCAGCAAGTGTTTTACTAATTTTAGAGGAACTACAAAAGACAGGACATGCATCACCACAAGACAAGCGACGTGTAGAATGGCTTGTTCATTGGCATACTCTGGAAGAATATTCTTATATGATATATGAATGGGCTCAGGAATGTGGTCAAGTAAACACTGTTTGCACACTTTATGAAATAGCAAATGGTGAAAATTCAGAAAACACACCTTTTAGGAATATTGATGAAACTGTGCTTATAAATGCCCTTCGCGTGTTAGAAGAAAAGGGTAAATGCGAATTAATATTAATGGAGGATAATAATGGTGTGAAGTTTTTCAATTAATAAGAAAGTGTATATAGTTTGAGGAATAATCGACGAAAGCATAATGTATGTAAAGTTCTATATTTAAATATATAAAAAGTATTTCATAAATGTTTAGTGTATATTTGTTAGTAAAATAAAAAAAAAAGTAAAATGTCTATATATAAAACTATTATACTCAGCATGACCATTATAAGTGTAATAGTGTATGTCATATTTACCCTTCATTTTTCTCATTTTTTTAGTCATCACAAATATTTGGTCAAAAATACAATGTTCAATTATTGCATGTATTCATTAATGTATGTATGTAAGGCCTGCGATTGCTCCCACTAGTCAGCAATTTCATTTTAATCGTTAGCAATATTTATATCCAATCTGTAATCCAGCAATAACTTATGTTAACTTATGTAATAGCGGCTAATGTAATAGTAAATTCAGTCTATGGAATGGGTCTACAGTACCAAACCAGAATTTGTCTTAATCTTTTTTAAATTCGAAATGATTAATTTGCTATTATTAAGCTTTTATGAGCTCGTTTTACTAAGCAAAAGTTCACCTGTCCTATCTGGTTTGAAGTGTATTAACCCCGATTAATAAAAAGAGTTATTTTAAATATAAAATGTTAATGTTGTTGTAATCCAAGTAGCACTGCTGTTATTGTATCCATTGAAAATGATGTACGGCACTTAGCCATTTTTGTGGACGAATGATTCTAGGACGTAATTTCTGCTCCTTCTGGCACAACTTAACCGCTTTGGACTGCGAATAATTAATTTTTATTTATAGTCTGCAACACGTTTTCACATAATAGGGATTGTATACTTAATATCGATACGGAACTTATATTCAATTTAGAAACGGAATGATATTCAATATAGAAACAGAACACATATTCAATATAAATAAGGAAGTTATATCCAATATAGATACGGAAGTATATTCAGTATAGATACAAAACATATCTACCATGTTATAGACGATCCTGTAATAATATATATTGTTTATATGTTATGGCCACTGTTATAACTATGTAAGCCAACTTAGAAGTTCAGGTTTTTCCATTTTCACTGGCTGCTTCTTACGTTCGTGTTACTAACACATCAACTTAGATTAGTCTTTAATTGTTTACTAAATATCTACTTTTTACAAATAAGTTATAATCCTAATTTCTGCTAATAACAAATTCGCAATAAGTCACTATAAGTTGGAATTTCCACAAGTTCAGTTTCTGATTACATGCTCTTCGTGTTTTCTATATCACTAAGGTCGATATATAATCAAATGTATTATTAGGTGGCTTTAAATTTGTGATATAATTCAAACTAATTGTTTCGTTACATACACTAACTTCATTTGTATTTAATTAAGCTGTGGTAATGATGGATGGATGCGTAAGATTACTTCCACTTCACTCATTTATAGTCTTAGTAAATATATCCTTAGCATTTTTGTTCAATATATTTTAACTAATTTCATTTCATGGTTTATTCTTTTATATTGCTTTATGATATTAAAACCAATGAAAAATAAAACAACTTTAAGTACATTAAAAGTTAGTACACTTTTTTAAATATTTTTAATACTCAATGTTATTAGAAAAAGAGGTTGTTTTCACATATCAATCAAAACACTTACTAAGGTGTTTATGTTTTCAAATAATTTACAAAAATCTGAAATACATTTTTTATTTGGTTTTTATAGGCAGTTCTTTCTACGTATTAAATGTTCTCAAGCTTAATTTAACTTAAATACTAAAATATTAAACTCGCCGTGTAACTTAGCACTTTAAGACATATATAGGACAGAAACAAAAAAAAAAGAAACTATTTATATAAACACAAGATAAATAATTTTTTTTTTCATTTCCGCTTATAACTATAAAATACTACAGTGATAATTTGTTTTTTGTTTTATTACACATAATGAATATATAGTTTTTTCTTTTTTTGGACAAGACATTTACGTTTATAGTTAAACCTATTCTCTTTTTAGATATATAAAATGTTTTGTAACATTAATAATATATGGCATTGTTTACATTTAGATTTGACATTCAAAACTTTATATATACTTTTCTATACTAAATTGTTTTTACAATAAAATTTCTCATTTTTGTGTAAAATATACATATATACGGCGTAGAAAAATTAAATTTTTCGAAACATTACATAAAAATTTCAAGTACAACAAATAAAAGTTTTTGTACAAAACATATGGATTATTTTAAAAGTTCAACTTAAATTAGAAAATAAATAATTTTTAATGAAACTACAAATTATAAAAAAATGGCATTTAACTCGTGTGATATATACGAATATTTATATACTTGTTTTAATCACTGCGTCTATCTAAAACTACTTGTTTCAAATAATATACGTTACGTTACTTATATATGTTATATTTTCTCATTACTATGTCATTTAAGTCTTATTTAAATACATTCCTTTGAATGTGTATATGATCGAAATTAATTTTATTTGGTAAATAAAGCGAAATATTTAGTGCCTGTGTCGTTATTAACGTGAACGCGTGCTGGGGCGGGATTAAATTGCTAAGGTCTATAAATCTAACAACATCTACTTCGATAACGGTTCTAAATAGCATCTCACGGTATTATTTTCATCTAACATAGCTGATATATTGCGACCAACTGGCTGTTGCTGTTGTATTTGATGTGATGACGATGATGAGGATGTTGTTGATTGCGGTGAAAGTTGTTGTTGTTGTTGCCTCCTTTGCAATGGATGCTGATTAGCTGGTGGCAACGGTGGGCCATGGTGAAAAAGTTCATTCATACCCAAACGTTTATTAGGTGAAGTCTTTTTAAAGCTACGTACAGATCCACCAGCTGTATTCACACCAGTTACTCCGAATATCAAATTCGGTTGTTGATGTTTTTGAGGTGGTGTACGTTGATCACCGTCATTATAACCAGCAGTTACCTTAGTATCAGAATTAATAGAATTTTTTTGCTGCTGACGTCTGTAAAATTATAATAAAATTAAAATTATAATAAAAATAAAGATATCAACAATAATTATTTACCGAAAACGTCTTTGAAAATCTTCATCCTGCAATACTAATAAGCGACGCATACGTTCATCGCTATGCTGTAAAGACATAGCATCATTCATATGCATGCTATTATCATCCTCATCATTATCTTCATCACACATGCTTTCATCTTCATCGTCCTCATAGTCATCATTATTTTGCATATGCAACCTTTCAGTACCTGGACCTTCATAGTCATCATCACCATCAATGTCATAGTGTTGAACATCAGAATTGCGATTGCTTAGTATTTCTTCATATACTGGCCCATCACCACTAATGGAACTTTGATTATAGTATGTTTCACTTACACGCCCTGAATCATAATCCTTATTTAAATCACAGTTGGAATGTTTGCCTTTAATAAAGCGCTGTCCTTGCACATATGAATTTATATGTACACCATTAAAATCTGCTGGTGTTCCCAACTTGTGAGGTTCTGGAGCTCCACGACGGTTAAAATGTAATAGGTGTGCATGTGCAGCTGGTTCAATATGCTCCTCATCAGATGATAGCTGCTGTTGCTGAATTGTATTATATTGTTGCTTCATATGTTGGTGTTGAGGACCAACAGTTGGGTACCGACGTTGTTGTTTTTGTTGTACTTGCGGTTGATGATGCATATAAGCCGTGGGCTCACCTGGTTCTGCATAATGTTGATACTGTTGCGGATTTTTATGTGTTTTTTTATATGATGGATAAAAAAGTATCTAAAAATTGTCTTATCAGTAAAACTGCATCATACAAATATTTTATAAAGTACCTGTGATGCAGCTGTTGTGCGACTATGCAGCGAACCACTTGGAGAGTCAGAATTTCCGCCGCCTCCACGTTTCTTCTTACCTTGTTGACTATGTTTTTGTGTCCAGTAGAAGAATTCATGAGTTTGTTGTGGTGAATTTTCACCTGCAATATAATCACGGTGTTGTTGCGGTATTCCTCTATTAATAGGCTGCTTCCAACTTTCATAATCCGGTTGATGATAAAAACTTTCTTGAGTAGGGACACTGTTGCTACTAACACTGCTACCGACTGGTTGTTGTTTATGTCCATGTCCAAAAATTAAGTGTGTGGAACCGGCAGATGATGTTGGAGAAGTGTGTCCAGCACTGGGTGTATGTACACTGCCGCCTTGGTAACGCAATGAACCAGTTGGAACACCACCACCACCACCACCACGTTCAAGTACTATATGACCTTGGACTGGATCGAAAACGGCATTACACTTACCATGTGGAAACACTAAATTGCCAGCTAATATACCGCTTTTGATAGTACCACCACTACCACTTGCACCAATATTGCGTTGCGGTTTATTTTCATTTAATTCGCAATCGGATGATGGTACAATTGCATCTTCACAAGCCGATATAGCACCACCTGTGTCATCAATCTCATTTCTTTCATCTGGTAATTTTGAGCTTTTTATTTGGGTATTCGATGTGGCACTGCCGCCACTATTACTAGATGTAGTGTTACCGATATTAGTTCCTACCCCAATACCAGTACTATTACCAACAATTCCAGACGAAATTGACGTTTTGGAACAACGCAGACATTTAGGTAACCAAGAGTTTTGGCGAACATACTTTCGATATTCGCGACGGATCTTTAATGATTTGCTATGTTATGAAATGTATAAAATACCAGAGAAAAAAAACAATACCTTTTCGTTTTGTATGCAATGAAATACGAAGATATAGAGACCCATAAGCGTATTGAAGCCAATAAATAAATAACCAAAAATAATTGCATTTTCTGCTTCGAGTTTTGCACGACGTAAATAATTGTAAGCAGAGATCCAAACTGAGCTTAACAACAACAAAAATATAAACGAGCAACGTATATCAAACCTTCAAGAAAACATATTGATAAATTTGTGAAGAGAAATAAGCAGAAAGACCACAACTTACCGAATGTTAGATAGGCGTGAATGTACTTTATTTTTTAGGGCTGAACGACTCTTACGATACATTACAAGCCATGACAAGCACGTATAAATCAGAGCACTCTGTAGTAATATTAAAAAGATCAAATCGGGAATAAGGAAAGAAATAAAAACAAAAACTTACCAAAAAGAAAAGAAGCACAGGCGCTACAAAGGTCGAGTAAAACAATGCATTAGAGTCCATCAAAATGCAAAAATCATTTTGTGTATAGGTGCTAGGATCAATAGCCAATGATATGGCTACAATGGTTAGTGAAAGACCATAAGATAACAGATAATAGCAGTTTACTTTAGAAGTTTGTACAACTTCGAGTAGAATATCATCGGTGGTGAGGATGCAGTATGACTGAAATGCTATAGATAAACAAAGTTTTTTATGAACAAAATATTAACATGTATAAAAATAATTAAATAATTTTTAGATATTTTTTAGAGTATATTTTACTCAAAAATAATGCCTAATGATAATTGAGATTTTTAAATAAATGTCCGTTTTTAATGAAAAATCTGATTTTGTCCATTATAACCAAATGAATTTTGTTTTTAATTAGAAAATAAAATAAACTAATTAGAAAAATTATTAAAGTTTAATAGTTACTGTACCGCATAATCAAAAAAAAAACCTGCATATTAAGAAATAGATTGCATTATATTTAAATGAGGTAAAAAATATCCCTATTAAAATGAGTTTTTCTAAAATTTAAGATGAGATAAATTCTAAGATCTTTTACTGAAGCCTGTATAGTTAACAGCTAATTCACTAAAATATTTAAAGCATTGTGCCACATCTCATTAAATAATCTTAATTATCTCATACCCTGGATTATCTTAATTCTTAAAAATTAATTATCTCATTCATCTTAATTAGTCCTTAATTCATTTTACGTTTTTTGGTTGCAGTAACTGCTAAAAAAATCTTTAATAATATTTATTTGTTACTACTGCAATCTGTGGAACACACGATTATGAGGACTATTGGAGAGGAATTAAAAAAAATAGGAGATATTGTCTTTGGAAATTAATTGTCTTTAAACTTTAGGAAGTTAACATATATTTATGTCAAAAACATTTTTATAAAGAAGATAGATAAACGAAAAACTCACTGACAATTTTGAATATGTATTCAATAAATAAATGAATCTTATGAAGTTGTATTTGGAGCTCAGCTTCATATCACATACGTGGCACATACGTGCGAAATAAATGTTTTAATGAAACAAATATCTAACGTAGAAGTAAGTAATGTCTAGAGCAGTGTTTCTCAACCTCGCTTCACTCAAGGCTTCAAAAAGTTCAATTATTTTTCCTACGTAACATACACAAGGAGCGTTCAAAAAGGTCAGCGAAATCGTCAAATATTTATCCCTTTTTAAATGATAAAAAACGAACTGTATCCTTCTCCTTTCAGATCAACAAGATTCTTCTTTTGCTCACGCATTACTATATTCATCAAAACACACATATTTTTTGGTAGCTGTTGTTTTAAAGTCAACAATTGTCTATTTACGTGTATTTAAAATTGCTACTTATAGAGCATACGTCTCACGTTAAGAAACACTGATCTAGAGGTCTAGAGAAAAGGGTTAGAATTTTTTAGATCTCCCGGTATTGTTTGGAATATAAAAGTTAGTGAGAAAGTTTTCAGTGTTAAAATAAAATTAATGGATTTGACTATGGGGCATGCATTGGGATTTACAGAATTTAAAAAAAATTAAACTAGTTTCACATATGTATTGGTCTATGTATGACAATAAGAATTAAACTTATTAAGAACTATTCAGTAATTTCACAGTATATGTAGTTACTTCAAAATTTATTGCATTTATGACCTCAGTTGAGCATTGACTGTTTGTGTGAACGGAGTTAAAGGGATTTAGTTTGTAATTAATATTAATTTAATTTAGTTTCGCAATTTATATGCAGCGTTTCGTTTTCAATGTAGTCTTCATTTCTTTAGTTAATAATGTTAAGAATATTTAACTTACCTTCAAAGCAGAACCATGCTATTGCTGCCAATATAGAAACATGTAAGAACACAGCTGTGAAACCGCATAGAATACTAGTCTCTGTTTGTTCAATACCAAGAAGAAACAATAGTTCGACAAATAGTAAACATATATAGATACTGCGATATATTACAGTACGCGCAGACTAAAAGTAGAAAGGAGAATGGAAAATAGATACTAGATATTAAAACTAAAATAGATTATAATAAAGTGTGCCAACAATTTGGAAAGTATGCCTAAATTATGCATAATACAAGGAAATTTTTGAAATGATTTCAGTTAAGTATATGATTTGATTTTAAAATTCTTAAATTATTGATAAACAAAAATTTTTGATAGTAAATATCAACTGTTATATGTGAAACATAACACATTTTAACATTGGTGGTTTAGTGGTGTATATTCAATGAGTTTTAAATAAACATAAAAGTACGAATGGAAGAATAAAATAAAAACTTAAAGTAATATGAAATGAAATAAATGAATTTTTTTTTATATATAAAAATGATATTTATTGATTTATGCTTATCTTTGTTGGTTTTTACAACCAATGACAAAAACAGCACAACATGCACTATGTCTAAAAATCAAATTTAAAATTCGTTTATTATTAGAAAATAAAAAATAAATATTAATAGTAAAATTCTTAAAACTAAAACTTAAAGTTGATTACAATTAATTTACTTAATGCTTATATCTTTTAAACTTAATGTCTTACGGATATATCACATTTACTATTATAAACAATCAGTACAGTTCAAGTAAATGAAATAGACAAAAGCGTTAATTAACAAATAAAATAAATTACTTATTAATACGAAATTTTAAGAATTAAACAATATTATTATAACATAATAAATTCATAGCAAATAATTTATATGTTAAAGTTTAACATATTTTGATATTAATTTACGTTAAAATTAAAAAACAAACTTTTACTTTAAAATAACATCAAATACAAACATACATTTATATATATATATGAATTATGAATTCACCACCACCACCATTTATATTGTAAATCATCTATATTTCCTTGCATTATAATATTATTCTGATCGGTATTATTATGACTATGATTATTATTGTTATTACTACGGTTAACGTTTAGATTATTGCTGTTTCCAGCCTGTTGTAGAGCAGCGGCAATAGTTGCTGCAGCTGCAACTGCTGCTACTGAGGTGCTATTCATTGAGGTCTCCAGGTGTGAATTTGTATTGTGTACATGTACATGAGGCTGATTTAAATTATGCCCATGGTTATGATGATGAGGTGATTGTAAGTTTAAGTTTAAATTTAAATTGTTCATTTGTAAATTACGTTGATTATTTGCTACAACAACAGCAGCAGCTGCTGCAGCAACAACCTGCTGCTGTTGCTGTAGATTGAAATTATTAGCATTTAAATTATTACGGTTCGAGTTCCGTATTGAGTTATGTTGTATAAAGCTATTATTGGTTAAAATAGGCATTTGAGGTGTCAAATGCTGCAAATTCAATTGTTGTTGTAAGTTCTGTACATTATTAGTTTGAGCTCCATTAACAGTAGCAGTCGTTGCAGCAACATTTATTGCAATTGACTCATGCGTTTGATCGCGTATATTATTCCGCGTACTACCGCGACGTTGTTGGTGATGTTGGTTATTGAGATTTCTTACCTTAATAAAGACACCATTAAATATTTTTAACGTTAACAATGCAATTACAATAAATAAAAGACAAATAGAGATGCTGATGTATATTAAAATACGCATATTGCCGTCAAACAAAGCAAACAGCGATTGGTTTTGCTCGTCCATCACGTCCATTAATATTGCAAAATTTGTTAAATGATTACACATACAAATGCTATGTGTACGATTTGTTGACTCCAAATTACAACCATTAGCCGACCAAGCACTAAAAAAAAGTATATAGATATATATATAGATGATTAATATAAAAACATTTATATATATAAATTTAAAACTCACTGATCGATATAGTTCCAAAATACACAAGTTGGATTTGATACATTTTCAGTTTTCAAATGTTTCAAAATTAGTTTGATTGGTTGTGAAATTTGAATATGGCGCCCTTTTCCTAAACTAGCCGATATTACTTTGCTGTTAAGTATACGCAGACGTTGCTGTGATGCGGGATCTGAATCACTTTCATTTGTTACTAATGCTGTGTTCCGTACTGTATTTAATGTTACTGATTATTTAAAATACATATATATAATAAAAAAATTTAAGCTTACTATAACTACGCGAACTTTTAATATCGAAATGGTCAAATGTAGGTTTTAGGATTGATTCCAAACGATCAAAAGCAGCAAATACAATGCGTACTAAACCACCTTCACTATTTTCTAGAAGTGCAGCACGAGGCAATTCAATGCGATCATCGCTGACTTGCCACTGTTCTGCGTCAGGAAAAATAACGTCCGATTGTATATTTTTAGTTTCCAAAACACGCACAGAAAGCACTAAAAATAATATATAAATAAAATAAACAAATAAAACACAGTAAATACAATAGAAAATATACATAAAATGTGTCAATATAATTGTTTTACATAAAAATAATATATAATAATATATATAATAATATATAATATATATAATAATAATATATAATATAATAATATATAATTCATATATATATATATATTATTTATATATATAAATCTAATTAATATATAAAAACATTAATATATAAAAAAATTCGTTTAATAAAAAATAATTTTTGTAGATTGATTTTCGCAATGTTATTCAATTTTATAATAAATTAATTAATAAAATATAATTATATAAAAATATTTATAAAAATTGTCACTTTGACGTAAAAACAGTTAGTGGTTTATACTTACATATATTTTTGACCTTTTGTATGACGTTGCGTTCTCGAATGATGGTGTCAGCTAAAAGAAATGCATTATATTCCAAACCAGTTAACAGAGAAGTTGCTACACGCATTTGATCCTCTTGATTTAAATCCAACCATGAGGATAATTGCGATTCATCTAATAGATTTGAACCAGTTTTTACAACACCATGCAAAAGTTCCATAATGATAGCTTCACGCTGTCGTTGATCAGGAAAAGTTTCTTTGTCATGAAACATTTTCTCAGACATCGTTTGTATGATTTTTGTTGTTACCAACATATCGCCACCATAAAGAGTTTTACTACTGGTAACCTATTATTATTATAAAAAGAGTGTTATATAAAATACATTGATGAAAATTGTACTAATTCAATAAATTACCTCTGATAAATCATTAGCTATAGATATTAAAGAGGAGTCGCGTTGATTTACACGTACTTCTAAATTATTAAGCCATAAACTTCGGCATTGAGTTAAATCAGGCGTTAAAGGATGCCATGTTGGTATAAAATTACGTAAACGCTGATCCACTTTCATGCCAACATCTTCAAAATTATTACAATTACTGCTGTTGTTATTATGACTACAATTCATATGACGTAAAGGTAATTCAGTTGCGTATATATCTTCATCTAAACTATTATCAGATATGCGCTTCATTAGTACACAACGCCATTTTGCAATTCCAGTTGCTCCACCTTAATTCATTAAATTTCGAATTATATTATTTTTAAATATAATATGCATTTTTATATACCTGGACATGGCTGTACATTCACATCACCAACACGTGTAATATTCCAAAACAGGTTACGTGCATTTGTGGGACCGCAAAACATATTTGTGCCATCACCACCAGTTAAACCAATATTAATATTAATGTTATTTATTGTGCGAATGGTATTATTTGTGTTACTAGCACTTCCAGCAATTGTGCTACTAGTAGAAAATTGTTCTACTGTTGTTGATTGCTGTTGATTCACACGATTTTGAGTGGTTCTGGTAGTTAACAGTGTACTGTCATCACTTCCAGTACCACCAATACCTGTTAAAATACGTGTATTTGTTGGTGTGGTGTTTGTTGGCGAAATAGATGTTATTCCTTAAATAATATTAAATTACATAAGTTTATATATTGATGAAAAAAAGGTGTTCCGTTTTTAAAAAGGCTTCTGTGAATTTATAAATAAAAAACTTATACGTTGGTTTTTATTTTATGTATAGTTATTTATACTTCTACTTTGCCCTGAAAAAGAATCGACGATATTTGTATAGATAGGTTAGATTAGGTTAGGTTATAGCAGCGATCATAAGGATGCACTTGGATGTATAAGCTCATTGTGTTACCACAAAAAGAAAACTCAAAGTCTTTAAAACCACCTTGAACCTTTGACAAAGCTTTATATACTTTTTGATGAGAGGTCTACAATCGGCCAAAATTCTTAAAAAAGGAGGACTCCAAACAGTAAATTGGCGTTACACATGAGTTGGGCTATATAAAAGCAGATGTATACACTTTCATCGTTCTCTCCACAAATGCGAAAGGAGTGATTAAAAGAGCAAATCTATCTTCTGGCATCGTTTTCTAATTGGCTGTGACCTGTGAGCAAACTTACCACTGAATTTTTTCTTAACAGAACATGGTTAATTTGCATACAGATATCTATATATCATTGAGTTTTCCCAGCTTTTATTAAAAAGTTTAGCAAAGAAAGAATTCAACAAAAGTTTGCTTAATATCAACGATATGCCTAAATTTTTTAGGTGTTCTGAGTAATCACTTGAAGTATCGCGTTTGGCTAGCTTGTCAAACATGCATTTGACGAAAATATCTCTATAACCGAAAATCCAGAATAGAGAAATGTTAAACTGTGTCGACATCTCATTTAGAGATGTGTAGCAATCAAAAACTATTCTGTATGTCTATTCTGTAATTGGACTGAATTCAAGAACTTCAAAGCAGATTGGCACTTTCAGACAAGCTACAGTTTCTCTAAAGATAACTATATAAAATAAAAGTAAAAAAATAAAAACCAACATAAGTATTTTTATTTAAAGATTAAAAAATATATTTTTAAAAACAGAAATAATAAAAAAAAAAGATCGTTACTATTCTAAAAGTTATTTTGTTTTACTTCACTTACCTATATTATTGTTGGCGATATTTCTCGTAACATCATTTTCTTCAATTTTATGATGATCACTAGTAGTATGCCCATTATGTCTAGTATCTTGTGCATTTCCAGCTAAAGTAGCCGTGCGATGGGTTGTGTGATGATGATGATGAATCGGTGGTGGTGGTGGTAAACTATCATGTCGATTTGTATGTTTTATTAAAGTCGCATTATATCCTACTTTTAAACGACCACCAGGTAACGTAGTATGCACTGTCGGTGGCCCCAATGAAGATGGTATACTACTCCAAATACTAGGGGCACCTGCAGACGTTGCACTACCAGGTAAAGGTAGTCGCGGTGGTAGCGGTTGTGGTACGGCGGGATGTGTTACTTTATGACCATTAGGTATTAAGGGAGGAATATTCGTAAATATCCATGGTGGACTAGGACGACTTGTTGTAGTGGTACTTTGTAATGCTGATATGCATTGATAATGTGCTTCCAAATATTTATGTGTACCTGGACATGGTTCTCCAAACATATTCGTAGTTGCTAAAACAGTACAGTTTTGTTTGTTGGCGCATCTATAAATATAGCAGTTTTAAAAAGATTCACAAAAAAACAAAACAATACAACTAATTTACTTTGAATTCAGCACTGTGAGAGTCTTTGAGAACATGCAATTCACACTCCAATCTACATTGCCGTGGTCATTGCATATTGTAATAGAAAATCGTCCGTAGTTAGCGCGTATTAGGCTGATTATATCGCCCGGATCACATTCTATTGTTAGTTTTTTACCTTCGCAAGCATAGGCAGTTTGATATTTCGGTGCTAAAAATTTATTTGTAGCAAATGCGAAGATGTTAGTTTTAGATTTTATTTGATATAGTACAATACATAATATGACTTTAATGACAAGTAAATATAACATGATATATATATATATAAAAGAAATTATTATTAGTTTTTGTAAAGATGCGTATTTGTAGTTGGTTTGGGTTTTTGTTGAATTGGCAGGAATCTGTAAAGAAACTTACTCATATATGCATATATAATATAATAACGATAGAACAAATATAGGAACGATCGTTAGGAAATGAAAATGACTATTTGTTATAATATTATACTTAGTGATTTTTTAATGTCGACTCTGCAGTGTTAACATTTGATACTTAACAGGTATGATTTTTTTATAAATACCAAATCCATTTCATTAGGAAGGAACAGGCTACACATTTCCTCTGCATACGTGAATAATTTAGAATTTCTTCTGAATTTTTGTATTCACATTTTTCTTCAATTAAATTGCAAGCTCAAAAATCTATATATAATAAATAATAATTTAAATATATAATTAATAAAAAATAAATGTATTTTGAATAAAGAATAAATATTTTTTAAATAACATATTAAATTCATAATAATTATATTCAAATATATTTAAAATAGAAAATAAAAATATTGAATAAAAAATAAATATATTTTAAGAAAAAAATAAATATATTTTGAATAAAAAATAAATAAATTGTAAACATTTTGTTTTTTTTGTGACCAAAAATATAATATAATTATTTTTTGACCAGGCTAATTGGTGGATTTAAATATAAAATAAAAACTACAATTTATTATTTATATTTAAACAAATCTTTTTTTTTAAAATATTCTTTCGACTATCTTCGATAGTCATCTCCAGGAAACATTTATTTTGTATTTAAACTGACCAATTAGTCCGCTCAAAAATTATTATAATTATAAATAAAAAATTTATAAATTTTATATAAAAAATAAATAATTTTTAAATAAAAATTTTTGAATTTTAAATAAAAATGATGTGTATTTTAAATAAAAAATAAATATTTTTTAAATAAAACATAAATATTTTTTAAATAAAAAATAAATATTTTTTAAATAAAAAATAAATATTTTTAAATAAAAAATAAATATATTTTAAATAAAAAATAAATATTTTTTAAATAAAACACAAATATTTTTTAAATAAAACATAAATATTTTTTAAATAAAATATGAAATTTTTTTAAATAAAAAATAAATATTTTTAAATAAAAAATAAATATATTTTAAATAAGAGTTTTTTTAATTTAAAATAAATATTTATTAAATAAAAAATAAATATTTTATAAATAAAAAATGAATGTTTTTGATTTGAAATAAATATTTATTAAATAAAAAATAAATATATAAAATCTAATATAAGATAAATGTGTATTAAATGTAATAATAATTGAAACACAAAATGAAGTATGAATTTAATCTAAAGAAGCTACATTAATGATCTTATCAATTAAATGGAAATGTTTGATGTTAGAAGAATGCAACAAATCTTTATACATAAAAAATGAAGATTGGCTTCATTGTACACTCACCGATCAAACGAAAGAAAATCAACATTTTTATTCGAAGCCCACATATACATTTTTTTGATTCTGCTGCCTCGCCCAACTGCACGCTACTTAAAATTGGCGTCGACTTCACAGCTAGTGCATATTAAACCAACAATTTTAAAACCGGTTACACATACAAGATTCTTGTAGTTATTTTTATTTTTCTTATCTTTTTATAGTTTTTACAAAAAGGGTCTGTGACGTGGACGGCGACGCCAGCGTTGAAAACTTCCTTTGTTCTTTAAATAGAATTGTTCACATAAGACATGTAATGATTTTCTCGTCAATATACTCATTTTAAAACTACTTTTATATAAATTATTTGATCCTTATAAAGATTTTATAAACACTCTATATGCAGTAGAATATGCTGAAGATATTCGGGCTTGTAGTATGTAAAGCACTATAATAAAATTTTTCAATAAATAAGTGGACATGTTTTTTAATATAATTAGTTATAATTGTAGTTATTTAAATGTATTTTTATTCATACTTTAATAAAATATTATGCGGAGCTCTAACTTTTAAACACTTCCACTTAACAGAAAATTCTCTATACCAATAAAATAGTTTTGTGTTGCCATATTTCATTGCACTTTCTAGAGTTGCCAAGCTCATAAATATGAACAGTGCTAATAAAATATTATCAAATGAACAAGGGCGAGTAAATTGAAATAAAAAATTGAAAATATTAATATGAGGTCAACTTTATTTGCATTTAGACATAAAATCTGTTTTTAAGTCCATATATTGGCGTATATTGTTGCTGCATATTTCTCGAGTTAAACACAATAGTCTAAATATAGCATTAGAAACGCAGTTCACAGACAATCTAAGAAAACTCTTTTAAGTACAAAATACTGTTTTTTATATTATTCTGTATGCTGCAGTAAATAAAAGTTGTAATTATATTTATATTCTTTATATAAACTTAAAAAATCAAAGCACAATAAGTAATATAAAAACAAATCTCACGATTTTAGTGACAAAAATTTTGCTGGCAAAAGTTTTTAAGCAAATGAAATTGAGAAGAGAAAAAACTTTAACCTCGCAATTAGGAAATTTTTTTGCATAAACTCACAAATTTATTATAAATAATTAATTAGTATAAGATTTGGTTATAACATATGTTTACTGATTCTTGTTTTTCTTTTTTAATTTATTTGTAATCAAATATCCTTGTATTTGATAATATTTCATGAGTTTTCAAACTACATTATCTTTTTTTCCTTTAAAAGTTTGTGCATCAAATGTATTCCATAAAACGGGGTTTACATTACGAATTTTGCTGGTGGAAATCGATTTTGAGCCTAAAGCTAAGTACCTTTTCTATAATATAAAGATACTTTTATTAATATGTAAAATAAAATAAAATGAAATTTGTATAAGTACTGTCAGATAGTGTTTTTATGTTTTTAATTTTGAATTCGTACCATTTTTAAAGATCAAAAATAGATGTGAGGTATCTTTATGAAGAAGTTGAAATAGAAAGTGTTTGCAACATAAATAAATAGAAACTTTAATATGAACCCACAATCATTCTTATACCATAGTTATTAGACCATATCCTCGCGATGTTGCCGGGAAGTTCTTACAACCAAATTGTGATGAAATTCGTTAGATCTATATTTTTCAAATTAAAAAACAATAATTAACTAATCAAAAATCTCGAATCAAAAATTTTATTACTTTAGAATGTCATCGGTAGGTAGTTTGCGTATATAGTTAATACACTTTTAAAGTACTCTGTATCCAATTATATTAAAGACAAACTTTCATATAGCAAATAGTTCAATTTCAAACTTATCTATACACATAGCACAAATAACCTTAATTGTGTGCTTTATTTGTGCTTATTCTACTCGTTGAGCTACCTTTGTTACAAAGTAAGCTTGAAATCACAATTCAATTCCACATTCAATTCCAATTCAATTCCACACATCCGACAAGCTAAATTAGGATTAAATTTTAATTTGTATAAAATCAAGTTCATAATTCACAACAGTATATTGTATTTATGTCTACGCACGCCATAACAAAAATCAAAAATAGAATTAAAATGAAGATTTGTCGTGTGAATAGATTATCATCCAAGTAAGACTTCTGAGCAAAATCAATAACAATATTAAGATTTCTACTTATAGACCAAAATCTCTATTAATAAAAGTTTGAATTGAACTACTCTCTAAATGTGTGCATATGTTTTACCGTTCATTGAAGTTCATATTTTTAATTAATTTGTTTTTATATTGTGAAAAAGCAACAACAAAACTCACTTAAATGTTCAAATACCTGTAAATATTATGAGTTTTCTTTACATTGAATTTTTGATTTTAAATTTGTGTTTTATATATACCATAATATGCGTCTGAAATATTTTTAGTAATTAATGAATTTTATGTATTATATGATAATAATATTTTACGTACACTATTTCAATTGAATTGTTTTATCAATCTTAGCAAAATATATTTCGGTAATAAATGTTCATATACTAATAACAATATTATTTCATAAGTTGAGAAAAATAAAACTTTTGATTTTATGTACATTTGTTTGCACAAGTGTATATTTTTTTATTGGTAAAAACATATTATATATATAATATAAATATGTAAAGTTCCTTACCATTTGTAAAAAAAATATCATATAATAATATTAACTAAATAAAACAGTTCTTTTTTATTAATATAAAAGCAAAGTTTTTAATGTCAGTTTAAATATTTGCTTGACCAACAATCAATATAAGTCGATATATACACATATCCCACCTCTACCTAGAAATTAATTTCATACTTTTATAACGTCCTTCAAGAATAAGTTATGTATTTTTGAAATTTAAAAGTTAATAGAAAATAATTATTTTATGTTTTTATTGTTTTATTGTATTAAAATTGTATCAACATTTCTGGTCAACAAATTTGGCTCCTCAAAAATTTATGTCTTTATTTCAAAAAATTTTAGACAAAATGTTTCATAAAAAGTTTGTCAACAATTTAGTTAAATTATTTCACAATAATATCAAAAAAAAAAAAAATATATTAACTCAGAATATATTCCACCAAATATATATATTGACGAAAAAAATTTAACCAATTTTGCAGTGAAGCCAATAGAACGCAAGATATTTCTACTGGGTTATGTTATGGATTTTTCAAAAAGCCAATCATGTATTTAGTTTCAAAACGACACATGAGATATGACAAATTGATGTATAGAAACAAGATTATTAAATTTTGTGGTCCCTTGTAAAGCATAATAGGAACGGAGTTATTCACACTGTTTCATTTAGGCACTTGTTCATTTATATTAATGAGTGAACGTTCACATTATAATAAGCTAATTCATGCAATTGATAGAACTTTTATAAACTTCACTTAAATATATATCACAAAAAGAAAAATTAAATTTATATTAATATTTTAGAATACACATTTATATAGAAATCATTTTAATCAATATAGTGTTGGGTATCATCTTCTAAAACTGATTTTATATCTGAATATACATTAGTATTTTATATGAAAATGTGTTAACAAAAATCGTAGATGCTTTTAAATTGAATAAATATCAGCTTAATACATTAAAAAGTAAATAATCTAATATAAGAAAATTAAGTTAACAAAAGTTTACTTAATTTCAAATTATTAATTTATATCTTTTACTTTTATTTTGGCAAATTTTTAGTATGTGCTAAGTAAAAAAATGTTTGGTTATAGTTTAATTTCTTTATTTCTTATTATGTATTAATTAAATAGTTAAATTGACGAAAAGTGTATTAATATTTTATACATTAATTAAATTTTAATTATGTTAACGAAATACAGTCCATTTTAAAAGTAAACACCAATCTATAAATATTTTTATATTTTTTATAATAAAATTTCTTATTTTAAATTAAGATCTTATATCATCAAGTCGTTAATTTATAATACTAGTTGTAAGTGTGTCTTAACAAAAATTGTTAGTTTCTTTACTTATTATTTTAACTGTAAGATTAAGTTAAGTAATTTCATTAGTCACGATGTTATTTTATTTTATTAAGTTATATAATTTGATATGTTAGTTGAAAACTGCTATTAATATTTATATTAAATATAACATAAAATAATTTTTTATTTGATTTTGTACGTTCTTAACTCTCAGATATAACAGTGGGTTTCATTCAAAGTTTTATTGATAATTTTTTTATTGACAGGTTTTTTGATAGACTTTTTAAAATGAATAATTTAGATTGTATATACCTAAGAGTGTATACAATCCAGTGATCTATTTATATTCTTTAGGCAAAAATATTTTGGTATATATATAAATATTTTTATATATTTATATATATATATTATATATATTTATATTTTATATAAATATAAATATATTATATATATTTTTATACTTAATACTAAACACATCTTTTTAAAAAAAAGTTATGTCCATTTGATCGTTTGAATCAATTGATTAATTTAATTAAAATTGATTAATTCCATAAAACTAGATCTACACACACTCCAATGGTTGATCTATAGTTTTAAAACCCTTAAATCTGCAGGACTGAATGGGCTGTTCCCATCTGTTCAGCACCCTTGAAAGCAAATATGTGATTATATTTCAATATTGTTTAGATTTCAATCATTTTAATATTATAAGAAAAAGTTTATAATTGTCTTTGAACCTTAAATAGATATAGCATTTGAGTCTTTAATAATTTATAATGTGAGTTTAACGAAGTTTTATTATTATTGAAGTTTGGCTTGTTCTTAATCCGACACTAGTTTTCTTTTTAAACTGAAAGTAATTTAATTAAAACTTTTACATTAATATTTTTAAAATTATGAATTATAATTCAAAATTAATAAGATCCTATACTGATATGAAATCGCTAAACCTTGTTGTACTTGGAGAAGAGCTAAAACTGTTTTGGTTTCTTAAACTGTTTACTTTGACCCTTTTCTTTTATAAGTCCTCTTATTTAATAGAGGTTAAATCAATCCTTTTTTTGAACTTCCTTATTATTTGAACTTCCAATTGGCTTCTATTTAATAAATTGTTTTTTTTTTGCTTTTTGACATTTCTTGTCCTGCCACATTGACTTCTACCATTTTTTTATATGATCCGTTGAGGTAAATATATTTTTTAACTTTGTTTTTTTCTTTTTGCCTCATTTTTTATTTGAATAGCGATAACGTTCTAAAACCTGTAAAGTCTTAAGTTTGTCCTCTCCCAATATCTACACTTTTTTCATCATTTATTCTCCATTTTTCTGTATATTAAAATTGTTTTAAACATTCTTATGGATCGCCAGAATTCGGCACTGCTTCATAATAGCATATCTTATACTTAATTATAGGAACAAAAGAATATATTGATATCACTAGTGGTAAATGTATTTGTTACGAATATTTAACTTTATATAACACAAAATTCAGAGCTTTTAAATAGTAGTGAATTGTAACAACAATTTTTTTTATTTCTTTTGTTGTTGCAATTCACTACTATTTAAAATCTTTCTATTAATTTCAATAGTTTCTATTAAGTAAAATAGCCACTACCGTCATAACTGACGTTAAAATCAAATTTAATACAAAATATAGATTGAGTACATATTCAACAATTTCACTTTTTTTTTTAATAAGTTATTAATACTGCAAAATTTTGTTTTGCTCTCAGAAATAACATAATAATAAGGGCCTCTTCAGAGTCTGTCGAATTCTTGAATTTAGAGAATTTTAGAGGTCAAATTTGAGTAAATTATAGAACATCTTTTCGAATTCTTATTCCGAAATATTAAAACATGTAAACATCTGTTTTGTATAGATTTTATTGATGTTATTAATGTAAAGATTTGTACAAGATCTCAAAAGTTATTACCGTCACAATTAACGAAATTGAAAAAAATGTAAGCAATCTTATGCTGTTTTCAATTAATATGTTAGGTTATCCCAAGGGATTCACTTAGGCCTATAGGCCCATTTTGCTACCGTATTATTAAAGGAATCAAGGGTTAAAACCATTTAGAACCTTTGGCAAAGCTTATGATGCTATTCAGAGGAAGATTCTGCAGTTTGTCAAGATCCTCAAAAAAGAAAACCCCTAAAGTGTTAAGAGATTACCTAAAATCTCGTGTTAGCATGGTTACCTAAAAAAAAATGATCTGTAAGTAAACTTACTGCAAGACTGATATCACTACGGGGCATCTCGATGAGAGAGTTTGATTTTCGTTTATTGGTGCGATTCCAAATTGCATACAGATGCCTGCATATCGTTGAGTCTTCGCATCTTTTATTAAAAAGATCGGCGCGGGAAGAACTCAGTGCCAGTTTGCATGACGTCAATAAATCTAGGGCAATTCTGTCAATCGAGATCCACTTTTAGTGTAAGTTTCGAGAAATTTCAAATTGTCGGATTAGAATTGGATAAGATTTCTATAGAAATTTGTTTAAACATTCCTTGACAAAATCGACGCCTTCAACAGTTTATGAAGAGGTACAGAATAAGTATATAATTATTTTTTTATGAATTTTAGAACTAAACATTTAATTACATTAAAATTCTGTTATTAAAAAAAATTTACAAATAAAAAATGAAATGAAGTATACGTCTACGTATTAGGTTTAAATATACTTATATAATAGGACTTAATTTATTAAAATTTTATTTTAAACAATTAACTTGTTTGATATTACGTTTACACTTGTAATTATCGAATTTCGGTAGTACATTTTTGTATGGATTGTGATTAAACAATATTAAATGTGAAGTTAATTGTGATAGTGTTGACGTAATGTTATTTAAAATATAAAAATATGTACAAGTAATTATACTATATGATACTTCACTGTTCCATAATATCTTCCAGACGTAAATGTGCCTTTCGTTTATGCCAACGTAAGCTAGCAAATTGTGCAAATCGTTTTGAACAAAACTCGCATTTGTACTTCTTCACCGGTAGGTGAAGTTCTTTATGCTTTTTTAGGTTACCAATTGTTGTGAAGCTTTTATTACATGCATTACATTTATGATTACGTATATTAAGATGAATATTCATATGATTTGTAAAACGATTTTTTTCGTAGAAATTCTTATCACAGATCGGACAGTGAAATGTTGAGTCCTGTACATGTATACGCCGATGTATATCGAAAAATGACCAAGTTTTAAACGATTTACCGCAAAGATCACAGATATATGGTCGCTCTCCCGTATGTTTTCGCTTATGTATTGCCATTTCAGTAGCCGTGGCAAAATTTTTATCGCACATATCACAGGCATAGGGAAAATCACGTTTATGACGTCGTATATGTACGGTCAAATTTCCAGGCATTTGAAAACCTTTCCCACATAATGTACAAATGAATGGTAAGGTACCATCGTGACCAGATTTGTGTATTTTGTATTGATCGGATGTTTTTATAAGCATTTTACAGAAATCACAACGAAAAGGACCTAAATTAATATCCAAAAATTCTGATAATTTCGTGTAAAGTAGAGAATTTGTAGTTTTACTATTATTTACAAATATTTTTTGTTTTTCGGTAGAGTAGTCCTTACGCAATTGATGTATAGTCTTTTGTAATTGATCGAGTGAGTAATTTGTTTTAAAAGATAAATTAATTTCTTCCAACATTTCGTTGTGGGCCTCATTGCGATATGTAGTTGAACGGAAATCTGGATGATCAACATCCCATAGAGCAGAATAGTTTTTATAGATCTCAATAAATTGTAAATTTTCATCTACGTTTTTAAATATTATAGCTTCAGCTCTTAAAAATTTTGTTTTTGGTTTTGTTTCCACTTCAAGTGTTTGCTGCAAAAAAAAATAAAAATTAAAAATTTTTTATTACATTTAATAATAAATACTTTAAACCATAAGTATATAACAAAACAATAAAAAATATATATAAAAAAATATTTATTATAATTCAATGATAATGTAAATGTAAGTAATGAATTAACACGCAGAACTAATTACACGTGTTTTTATAAATTTATTTCTATCTTTATTAAAACAGTTTTATAATAATTTATTGTTTTAATGACCAAATATCATCCAATAATAATTTTTTTTAACGTGTTAATTGGTTAATAGTTAAATAATATACTTTTTAAAAAATATTTTGTTTTATTTGAACCAATATTATGACTATATTCTATAGTCATCTTCAGGGTACCAAAATGTTTTTATAATGTAGCAATAATTTAATATAATTCACAAAGAAATAATTAAACAATACATTAATATTAAAACATGAATTATAATAAACAGGAAATATAATAAGGATAATAGAATTTCATAAGAGGACAAATATAACATTCTTCTATATATGTATTTTTTATTTTATTGTCAATGTATTGTATAACTATTTTCTCTATATTATAATTCATGATTTAATGTCAATGTATTGTAGAATTATTTCTTTGTGATTTATATTAAATTATTGCTACATTAATATTTTGGTACCCTAAAGATGACTATAGAGTATATTCGAAATATTAGTACAAATAAAATCTTAAAAAAATAAAAAATTTAAAGAAACCTAATTATTAATAAAAATTTTTGTAGCAGTTAACATTTTTTAAATAAAGAATAAAATCGGCACGATTCTGATTCCTCGAGCAAGCCGACTTTACAACAAATTATAGTGAAAACACCTATTTTGAGCTGTTTCAATATGTTTCAATAAATCTGAATATATGTACATAAATCAAAAATGAGATGAATATGTTATTTACAGTTTAAAATTAAATATAAATTATAAATTAAATACAAGAATTATTTCCAAGACCACTGATGATGGATATTTGGCAATAATCGAAACAGCTGTATGGTCAGCCAAAAATTCAATTAATTAAAATAATATAAAATAAATTTTTGTTGTTGTAATTTCACTACTGTTCGAAAAAACTTATTTATTAAATATAAATTTTAGAAACATATGCATATGGATATACTTTATAGATTTTAAAATTGAGACAGTAACATTATAAAACTTACTTTGTTTGTTTTTTTTCGTATTTGTTCCTCAAATATTTGTCTTAAAAAATTCATCTGTTCAAAACACCACAATTTGGGTACGTATAATCCTTTATTTTTTAATAAAATATATAATTCCTTACGATATCGTGTACGCAATTTTTGAATACTCTCAAAGCATTCCTCACCAGACATTGCTACATTTATATCCTCACGTAATTGTATGGAAATGTCTTCATATTGACTACTTTTATTGCAATTCGTATAATTTTCATGTTGAGGATTCCAAAGAATTTCATGATTACGAAATGCTTCTATTAAATAGCTTAAAACTTCTCTACCATGTATGGATTTCATTAACTCATAATCAATACCAATTGATGCATCGCTTTCGGTACTATCCAGTCGATTCTATGATATTACAATAATGAGATTATTTATTGTTTTATTGACAAAAATTTTAATTAATAATATTGTTTTTGAAATGGGCCTATCGGTCAATTGTTCAAATAATACACTTTTTTAAATATTTAAAAATATTTTTTTTTTTTATTTACAACAATATTTCGACTATATTCTATAGTAGTCTTCAGGATACTAAAAATAATTTTTTTTTTAAAAACTAATTTTAAAAAAATTTATTTGAACAATTGACCACTTAGCCGGTTTCAAGAACAAAATAGTGAAATTAGTAATGTATTCTAAATTATATAAAGCAGAGTTTCTCAATCGCCGGTCTCCGATTTTATTTTTTGGTTCTATATTCTTCTATATTTATTCTTCTATATTCTATATTCTATATTCTATATTTTTTCTAATTAAAACACTGAATATTTTATCGGTTTATATAAAAGACCTTGTTTATTTTACGATCTTTTGCAAAAAACCATTAAACATTATTTCGGTCTTTGTGAAATACATTAAATATTTTAGGGTCCGCAGTACATTTTAGGTTGAGAAACACTAGTATATAAAATTTTTTAAAAAAACTTTTGTACCTTTGCATCCCGCACAGCTCTTTTCTTTTCAATAATATTACGTAGAAAATGTAATTTTTCGAAAAACCACAACTTTGATTTATATTTGCCTCCACGCTCTCTAAATTTGGTTAATTCTCTACGATATCGGCTGCGGATATTTTTTAAAATAGAAAATATTTCACTTCCACTCAACGAGTAATTCATATCTTTTAATAGAGGTGCGGAAAATTCATCATATACTCGTCTATTTGCATTATATTTGTATTGTGAATGGTCAGGGTTCCATAGTTTTTCCTTATTCTTATAGGCATCCAATATATAGTCTATAATCTCTTTACTGTGTTTCATTTCCGGTGTTGTTGACTAAAGTTATAAAAATAACTTCAAATAAAATAAAAATTATTATTTATTTATTTTTGATAAGAATATCTTACTGATTTCGACTGATTTTCTGAACTTGGAGACGATGCCATTGACTCACTGATGCAATTTTCGTCACCACATTTACCATAATCGCTACATATAATCTGTAAATATAAATTTAAAATTATTATGACTTTAAATTTAACAAAGTTAAAAAAAATTTCAAAAAATATATTGCAGCATTTCCTTTCTTTCTTAATTAAGTACTGTTAATAGAATTTACAGGAAATTAAATTTTCCTTTTTATTTTTTGTTCATTAAAATTTTGAAGCAATTATTTGAGTGCAGTGGAAAACTTTTCCTGCCGTTTCTGTGACTCATTCGTATTCATTTAGTATATTCCACTTAGCTTCACATGCTCTAATTAAAAATTTTACACTTTACCTAGCTAATTGCAGTAGTCATGCCTTCTGGCCCCTTAAACAGGGCTACTTTGCACCAAAAAGTGGAAGACCCAAATTTAAATACATGCGAATGGAATAACATTTAAATCATTGGCATTTTTCAGATTCTGATTCGTAAAATATTCACGTGATTTAATATTATACCAACAAAAATTATTTTTTTATATTTTATTGAAAAATTTATAAGATAATAAAATACTAAGATAACAACAAAAACAAGTAAACAAAAAAATTTCCAGAAGAAGTTACTTATGATTCAATGTTTATATGAAAGGGTGTATTGACCTATATTCAACCCGCGAATATGGAATTGAAATCGTTTCTTATACAATGGGACAAAATGTGCTTTTTACAATCAAAAACTTTTTAAAATTTTTGGAATCGTTTTAATAGTTTTAAAGTTCGTAATAATATATTAAAATATATTAATGAGATATATAAACAGTAGAAATTATTTTAGTTATTGAGTAATATAAACAACTATAAAAAAAATGAAATTAAAAACATATTCAGCAGTTCTACCCACTTCACACTACAAACCCAGAGTTTCTCCCAAGAGGAGTGAAAATGGTTCAGATTCTATATTTACTTTCAGACCAGTTGCAATCAAAAATTGTCAATAACGAGAGGCAGCTAAAGCAAATAGGTCTTAAAGAGAAAGTGGAGAATATGTGACTATTTGGTGTATGTGTATGTGACAACATTTTTGTATAATAAGTAAGCCACGATGTTTTAAAAAAGAGTGTGCCAAAAATTGCAGAATAAATTTTTAAAAAATATTGAAGAGTACATTTTTATATTAAAAAAAGTATATATATAGAAGAGAATGTTCATTATTTTTTAGGTAATCATGCTAGAAGACTAAATCTCGTTCTCAATCATACCTGTCGCAGTTGTAAAGAGGACGATAAAAGTGACTCCCATCGACTTTATCCAGCACATGCGCAGCTGGATGATACGTGATAGTGCCCCTATTACTTTAGGGGCTTTTTTTTTTGATAGCATTATAATAGCATTTTTATAATACCAATAATACCAAAAACCAAAAATGATTATTAAATTTAAATTATGCTTTGATGAAAATTACTATTTTAATGGGAAAACATTTGTTTAACAATTCTCATATCTTCTTGAATAAATAATCTATTCCGTTCAATAGACTGTTTGAGGTTTAAGTGGATAGTTTTTTGATTGAATATGAGATTCTTACAAATATTATTTTTTGTTTTATTACAACGCCTATCTAGTAATAAATGAAATGAAAATAAATTTGGATAGTAAAATAATTTTTTATTAAAAGATTTATGAAATAACACTTTAGAACAAATTATAGGTTTTGCCTCACTGTAGTATTGCTTTTGTATTTTATTATATATAATTGCATACAAAATTACTATTAAAAGTATAACGCAACCTAGCTATGTAAATAAAGTTTACATAAATTTCGATTTTTCTGAATTTCGATCAAGATGGCAACTATAATCAATCATGTGCCTGTAAAAACTTACAATTGTAAGGCAACCATAGAAGCCGTCACAAAAGTTGAACTAATTGAAGTTTATAGAACCGTGGATGCTAATGCGTTTGCTCTTCTTTTAATAGTAATAAATACCATTGACAATAGTCTTCATATGGTTAGTATATAAACCCAGTAATTAGTGGTCTCACTACGAATATCTATATAACAACCAGTATTCTTATCTCTATTACAAGTACCGTACTATAAACTATGCTTAAGAATAGCAACAAAATATTTTGAATTTATTACTATAACTCCTTTTCTCCGAACTTAAACTATTCACTACTCTCAAATATACATTTTATAATACAATATATTAGGATTTATCTCTAAGCTTAATCCCATACTAGAAATATATTTTCTATTTAATATATTGTTGAGCAATTTTTTATGCATGGATGTACAATAGTATCTATTATTGTTGCTAACTTTTCGAACAAGTTTTTAGATTTTTTTTAAACTTATTTTAGAATAAAGTTGACATTTTTCCAAATACGTTTCTCTACTAAGTTAATTAAAAGCGACTTCAAACAGTATAACTGTGGGTCGTATGTAGACTATATAATCCGTATTATAGGTAGATAGGTTGGAGTGACGGTCTTGTTTCCAAAACAGCCACTTGAGCTCAAATAATGGCCCATTGTGATACCACAGGAAAAGCATTGGTACGTATATAGATTGAAATCAGTATACAACCAACGCTGAAAAAGGTAACGACTCCCTCATTAGATAAAGGAAAACTAACCTGACAGTTCTATAAACTTGACTAGGTTCTTAATATTGCAAGATAACAGCCCGAAGATTTTTGATTTTCTCCTAGCTAAAAAAGAGCAATGATACATGAGATGCAGCACGGTCTCCTCCTTATCTTCAGAGCCACAGCCTCGAGAAAAGTAATTGTAGGGGAGATATATATTATCGAAACAATCAATGTGAGTATAAAAGTTTTCTTCGGTTAAAAATTAAATTATTTATTAAGTTTTGAGTGTTCGAGATATACGGGAGTATATTGTGTATATTTTTCTAAGTTAAACTGAATTGAACTGAATTATATTAAAATAAAAAAAAAAGATTAATTCTAACACAAATCCAGTACAAAAAAATGTATATTTGAACAGTAGTTTTGTTTATCATCATGCATTATTCTCTTTACTTATAGTAAGGCCAGCGTATTCGAACGAATTGTGTTCGAAAAGACTTGTTTCGAAAATATGTATAAAGTTTTTAAATAAAATGTTAATGTTTGTTAGAAATAAGCTAAATAGTCATATTATTTCTAATTTATTTACTTATTTAAGGTCGTTACACTTTTGTTAGAATTTTTTTACCAGACTTTACTTTTTTAATAAGAATTTTTTTTTTAAACATTGTAGAATAATAATTGAACAGGTTTAAAATCAAAAGTTTATTTTATTGATTTATTAATGCCATTAATAATGGTTTATGCAAAAAATTTGTTAATTTATACAATGGATTGTACACATTTTGATTTCAATAAAAAGAAATCAAAACCAATCAATTAAAAACCTAATAGAATTAGTGAATCGATCACACCCACTTTTCTTAGTTATGTACTCGTACGTATTGAAAAAATGAAAAGTTTTTCATTCATTAATTCTCTCAATTAAATTGCATCGCATTCATTAACTATTTTAAATACAATCGAAAAGAGTATCTGATACAGTCATTGTCCGGTCATGCATATTTCGATTTTATTTAAACGTTTCTTTTTTTTTTTGATCTATTTAGTATTTAGCATTAAGTATTATTTAGAAAATGGTTTTATGTATTAGCAGTAAAAAAGACCATAAATATTATCAGAAATTTTTCGGAAAAATCAAGATCAAACCAAATCGATCCGGATTCAAGTGTAAAAATTGTAACAGATAATTTTATAGGCTGTGCATAACATACATGCTTCGAGAACGAGTATCTTATTCAACAGCAAATATTTTCCTTCATCAGTATAAATGCAATATTGGTAATCAGTAAAGTAGTACTCGTAATTATAAAGTAGTAAAAACTTCACAAATATTGTTCTCACACACAGAATGTTATTAAAAAGGGGTTTATTAGGTTCTTCGTGAAAGTCGACAAATAAACCATATATATTTGATCAGCACGATGAAACGAAACGATTTAGACATAATTATCTATTTGTTTTAAAGATAGTTATTCCTTAAATTTTTAAAATGAAAGAATAAAATTTAAAACATATAATTATTTAGGAACCGATCTAAGCATTTATTGAAATGATCGATATCAGTTGACTTTATGAGGCGAATGGAGTGGTATGCAAATGTACATTTACAAAATGTACATTTAATTTTTAATATTTATTTACCGCAAAATACTTAACTCTGAACTGTACTATCAACAATTGAACCGTCTGAAGAAAGCAATTGCCTAGAAACGGCCAGCTTTGGGCAATAGGAGAAGAATTGTATTCGATCAGGACAACGCCAGGGCACACACATTGTTAATAACTTGCCAAAAGCTCCGTGAGCTTATTTCGAAAGTTCTTATGCATCCATCTCACAGTTCCGACCTGGCAACAAGTGATTACCTTGTGGAAATTGACTGTTCCAATTTTTTGTCAATAGAGACGAGGAGTTTTATAAGAGAGGCATAATAAAATTACCTTCAAATTGGCATTAAGTTATCCAACAAAACGGCGCATATTTAACCTAAATCGGATCATTTTAACTATAATAAATGAGTCTTCAATTTCATACAAAAAGGATTTATTTTTACTACACATATTATATATGGAATTTAATATGTTTAGGTGAATAGAATTCGATAGAGAGATGAATTTGAGACTAAAATGGTGTGCAGACGTCTAAGCAGATTTATAGGAGATGCGCATTAAAAATTGGAGAAGTTTCTTATATGAACTTCTCCAGTTTCCAAAAGTGGTACTCATTGCTAAAACCAAATGATTATAATGATAAGCTGTACTTTTAAAATAATGCAACAGAGCGTAGAGTTATTTTAGATTGCAAATAATAAAGAACCCTAAAAATATAAAAAATTTTTCTCATTACAACTGAAATAAAAGTTTATAGATTATTGTGCTATAAGTACTATATAATGTTTACTTTTAAATAATCTGACAAATATGACAAAAAACAAAAAAAAAATTTTTTTAAATTTTAAAACCCCAAATGATAATTTTCTT